ATGAATGAATGAATGAATGAATGAATGAATGAATGAATGATTGAATGAATGAATGAATGAATGAATGAATAAATGAATGAATGGGTGGGTGGGTGGTGGGTGAATGAATGAATGAATGAATGAATGAATGAATGAGACAGTGAATAATAATTGGCAATAATTTGCGTTACACATTGTGCTGATTATCACACCGGATAGTCGGCTATCAAGTGAGTGAAGACGGAGTGCAGCCACAAGAGCACTACATTTCGCCCATTCTGACATGACCACAATAGAATACTATGCCATCCCTGTTATTCGCAAGTTAACAATTTGCTACCCGTTTCTTGTATGGTTGTACCCAAGCACTTTTGGACTGATGCCCTGCTCAAACGAATTAGCGATTCAGGCAAAGATTGCCCTTCCTCCGGAATGAACAAATAAATGAATAAACGAATAGATACATGAATGAGTGAACAGACGAAAGAAGGATGAAAAGAATGCGGGAAAGAATGAAGGACGGAACGAATGAACGAACAGACAGGCTATCGAATTGAGGGATGTGCAAAAAAATATTGAGAAGAAATATTTCTGTGAAATGGAAATGAAATTTCATATTTTCAGATATGCATATTGCTGCACTAATTTATGAACAGACAAAGAAACAGACCTGAAGGACAGAGAGGTGAGATAGAAAGACGATGGAAATTATAACAACTCATATGTCCGTGCTCAAAACATGTTGAAAGGGCAATTGCAACATTTCATCAGAAGAAAGGTTGTCAGTGAAAGCAGTATTGCAACGCTTGAGTCCATGATCCAAACCTGAGGGAAGTGCAAGAAAGCACTGAACAAACGACGTTAAATAATGGTTAAACTTGAGCGTCATTCAATTTATGAGGGTCGCGCAAGGCTGTAAACTGTGACGAAAGTCATCAGTCTTATGACCTGTCCTCCAAACAGAAAGGAACAGCTCATTAATTGACTGATTCAGTGATTACTTGGCTGACTGAGTGCGTGAAAAAGCATAAAATAAATACACACATGTGTAACTACATGCGATAAGGAGTAAGACATAAATGGCAATGAGGTTGGTGGTTTCGAAATGCTAAGACCTGCCCTGTTCTAGCCATTGCCTTCACTTCTAATGTACCCACTAGTTCATTAATGTTTCTTTGCGATCGGCAGTAAGGTCAGTAAAAAACGGCTTCAAATTGTTTCCCTCCATCTGTTGTACTTTCGTGCTTATGATCACGCACCCTAGCTCTTTCGAATCACTAAGGCACGTAACTAGACTATTCATTTTTATTTTCCGTCATGCGTAGAATGTATAGATAGATGCAAATACAATTAACAGAGAGAAAATAAGACAGGTATTCAAAACAAGTGTCGAACAGGACAAGCGACAGGTCGACAAACTGGGAGACGTTCTTGGCTACGCGTTCTTGGTACGATCGATGCGCTTTGTGACTAGTATTGAACATTGTGAGGTTCATCGTGTGGAACGTTTGTACTGCGGTACGACTTGTATGGCTGTGAGTTTGCTTCTTGCCTTTTGGGCCCATTGAGGTCGGTGAGTCACTAAAATATTCAGCTCACACTCGTTTTCTGATATACCATAATCTTTTCCTCGAGGTCAGCATCAACCAATAATAGCGCTTGATTTTTCATATAATTTTTGTGTAGCTGTGGTTTTCTTAAGCCTTTAAAACCATCCTCTCTTTCCTGTCCTAGGGAGCAGACAACGATCAAAGTAAGGGGTAGCTCAGGAGGGTGTAGTATGGTGTTTTTTGATAGTAATGCTCAAAGTGTAATTAACAGCGTAACGTTTGACCAACGAGGCTGTAGTGGTTTATTATAACATCCTTACTGATGGTCATAACCATCAAGTGGTTGGGTACCGATCGCTGATGTTCAACCGGTCGGCAAATGGGTTCATCTCCGTTGAAGTCACTGGTGGCTTCTGATTCATGGCAGGCATGTGCTTTCGTTGAAGCAACATTGCTGCTCTACGGAACTCTATGCCTCCCTCCTTTCTAAAAGGAGACAGTACAAACGAACAATCAAGAAAACCACCAACACACTACCGCATTAGGATGTTTTCAGCCCCTGGCTCCTTAAAGCAATGGCCTGAGGACATTTGATGGTCCATTGTCGACTACGCACATATGATGGTGTGGTATCATAAGCTCAAAATTTTCCATA